GGGGGGCACGCCGTGGCGGGGAGGCACACAGCACTTAGACCCTCTCCCAAGTGTAGAGCTGGGACTAAAACATTGCATAAACAGCCAGCGATATAAAAGGGACCTAGAGCCCCTCTACACGTGGACACATTTTTTCTGTCTAAATCCGAAGTACTGTGCATGAAGTAAAAGCATCAAAATATCTTCTTCATAGGCACACAATTACAGCTTTTTCTCAGGTCTTCTGCATTTTTTCTTTGCATTTCAGGGTTTATTTTCCAAACGTGGGGGTGAGGATAGGGGAAGTTGATACAGAAAGGCTCTATTTTTGTAATGAAGGATAAAAAAAAAAAAAAAAAAAAAAAAGGAGAAAGAAGAGCTCATGAAGTAATAAACCCAAGAAGCATGCTGCAGGACTCAGTTTCTGCAAATGCACCAAGAAAAACAAGGGCCACTCTCAGCCGAAACACGAGTCCATCAGGAGAACAGATTAGGTGGTGTCAATGAATAAAGATAATGTCCCGGAGCAGCTCGCAGTGCATCGCCATCTGACTCCTCGCCAGATTCTTTTGTCTCTTCCCACCTATGTATTTCTTAAACGCGCCTGTGAAAAGCTCTCCCTGGAAGGGGATACAAGCTCCGTGCCAAAATGCAGCCTGGTGACTCCAGAGTAGCTGAAACATGTCGGATTTTATTCAACAGCTTGTGCTATAGAGTGTCTTGATCTGTCTGTACAATCACAACACACACAAAAACCCCTCAAGGCATCTACTTAGCTCTACTTTTCAACTGCCAATAACACTCACAGCAAAAGTCAAAAGAGCAGCGCTGGAGCCGCGTCCTTTCCCTGCTGCTCAAAGGCTTCAGGGTTGCAAGGTTCGGAGATAACAAAGTCTGGCTCAAGAAATCCTGGATGCCTTTCAAGAACATTATTAGCTCCCATGAATGGGTTTGAAGGAAGGAGGGGGTGGGGGGGGGGGGGGGGAAGAAAAAAAAAAGAAAAATGACAAAAACACAACCCACATCGCATGTAGCAGCTCTCTGCTAACCAGCCACCTCCCCTGGGCACACACAGATGCTCCCAAGCTGGGACACCCCCAGCACCGTTTAATGCATGCACAGAAGCACAGCGTAACGCATGACGAACCACATGAAAAGTTCCTCCTCCCCCCCCCCCCCCCGGCCTGCAAACCTGCATGCGCTGCATCTGAGCGAAAGGGGAAATGACAATAAAAAGCTAAATTCAGCCTCTCAGAGATTCGGAGCCTTGGGACAGCTCTGCAGTGCTGGAGGATGCTCGGCAGCGACGCCCGCTCGCCCTGTGCCCAGCCTGGCCCCTCACCAGGAAGCACTGGTCAACTGTTACTAGCCAGCCCACGCTACTTTTTACTACTATTGCCCCAAACTGTGAGAAAATAAGGAATTCTTCACAAGCCCTATGAAATCCAGCGTGCGCCATCACCCAGGGCACAGCCCCAACAGCTTTCCCGCAGCGTGCTATGCTCGGGGACGTGAAGGGTCATTGGGAGCCTTGGCCCGGCCCCATCTCTGTACAACACTTTCCTTGGCTACTGGAAAAAAAAAAAAAAAAAAAAAGCAGGAAGAGGAGACAGAAAAGAGGGACTCGGATCATAGATCATGCAAGTTGATGCAAGGCAAAGGAAAAGCCTCGCATGTCGCTGCAAAGTTTTGGTGGAGACAAGGAAGCTGTTCTTTTTATAAGCTACACCAGGCTGAATTCCCCAAAACTGCGTTTTGTGCAAGCCAGCATCTGCAAAGACCCTTCCCGGCAGCACCTCCGTGCCCTGAACTCGCCAGGGCTCCTGCCCTCTCCCCCCCAGCACCAGAACCGCCGAATTGCGGTGCGAGGCAGATGGAGCGGCCCGAACCCCCCCCCCCCACGGGAAACAAGCAACCGAAAAGGGAACGATCCCCTGCAAAGATCCCAGCTACGCCCCCCAAAACTGCCCCCCTCAGCGCGGGGCAGAGCAGCAGCCATACGGGCGTCGTAGGAAACGCAGACACCCCGAGCACCCCAAACGCCGCCCGTGACCCCGACCCTGCTCCCCCTCGCACCGAGAAGTCCCTGGGCTGAAAGCTCTGCAGGCACAGAGGGGTTACACCCATTACACCCCTTACACCCCACAGCAGCTCGGCCCACAAGTGCAGTTTTTCCTCGATTCACACAAGCAAGGGCAGGATTTGGCCCCGTGCCGTCACGCTGAGCATCTCTTCAATTTTTTTGCAATTATGTTCTAAATATCACTGGCAAACATCTCTGATTCAATTAAGTTGTTAACATTTGCCTTCGCCTACGTGCCCATAAAGCAGACAGACAGACAGACAGCAAGGTTCCCAGGTTCCCAAACAGGACACTCACACTCCCCAAACCGCTCCGTGAGCAGAGCTGCAGAAACACCAACATCACTTCTTTTCACTGAGGTTTACTTTAAGCCCTACTGAGTGCCAAAAAAAATTAAAATAGTGTTTTGCTTTAGGATAAAATGTCACATCATGCTTGGATTATCCATTAGGTAATTTATGTTGCAGTCTAGAAAAGGTGTTTAATCTCCTTATAATTAGCTAAACCTACAGTAACTCAAAGAATTTCACATGAGATGCTTGCTGCCTTTGCAGAACATTTTCTTTTCACTAGCAAAAAGAAATTTTGCAAGAAAGGGGCTTTCAGCTATTTCAAATTTAAATGAAATAAAACACTCTGGTAAGAATAAATGGCTTCAGACAGTAACTTACATTGTAATGTAAACTACTCATCACCCACAAGCAGATCCTCCTGCCACAGCAGCAAAATCACTGTGGGACTGAACTACCATGAAAGAACAAAATAATTCTGTGGTGATATTTCCAAGGGATTTTTTTTTTTTTTTTTTTTCCACATTTACTTAAGACAAGCAACGACCTACAGGTGCCTTCGGGCCAAATATCTTGGCATGAGAAACAGTTGGTGTAATTTTGGTTTCCTAGCAAGTTCAAATATTTTAAAAATGTTTACACCACTTTGAGATATTCATTGGAAAAACCTGAACTTCTGTCCAACTTTTATTTTCCTCCACTCCAACACACCCCAGCTTAAAACATTTAGTTCTGTCTGACTTTCCCAGGAAAAAAACCCTCAGTATAGCAAGGCCCTGCAAGAAAACAAAACAAGAGCGGCAAAAAGAAGAGGAAACGAAGAAAAATAGTTGTGCGTGTGATTGAAAACACACTTGCTCTATGCAGAGTTAAAGCAAAACATCTACTGTTTTTTTTTCTCACTAGAAAGGATGCAACTTCTTCCCAGCACAGCGTACGCGTCCCTGCGACGCATCTGGCTGCGCCGAAAACCTTCCCTGCTCTAGTTCTCCAAATTTACCCTAACCATATGCAGAAACATCTTAAAACATCTCGCTGGTATCAGGCCAGGCTCCCTGCAAGCACTTACAGCACTAAAAACTCACTACACAGCAATCCAAACCTAAGATTTATTTATTCTTCTCTCGCTGTGGTCCGCCCCGCAAACATCTCGCCGGACTACGGCGAGTGATATGAAAGCGTTCAATCTTCCACACTTTAATTATGTGCTCGCAGTCATTAAACTCCCATTCTGCCAAGAGAGATCTATCTTGTAACCCTCACCCAAAAAGATTAGTTATCATCATTATTGTTTCTAGCGCAGCACAGATACAAATGGAACTGAAAAATGAGCTAATAAATCATGGCAATATTAATACAGTCATAAAAATAAGTGTGCTACTTACTGCGTTTGAAGGTGTGTTAAGTCAATAACTTTACAGTCCAGATGTGGTCGTACAGAGCTGAAACTCTGCGGGTAAAATTACCACTAAAATTACACTTTCCATTAAACACGCTGATTTTCACAGGTTATTATTTTGGCGCGGATTGCTAAATTGCAACCTCCCCCAAAACATCGAGAAACATTAAGAGCACGCAAGAAATACAGTATTCCCGCGGGGCTTGGGGAGAATAGGATGGAGAGGCAGGAAGGACAGGGAGAGCTACTCCTTTTATTATTTTCAGATGTTTCCCCGAGAACACCGCAGCGCTTTTATAAATCTACACATTTGGACTCTCTTCAAAATAACGGACCAGATTCTTTCACTGGCTTCAAGGGACTTACTTAGCGCTCCGACTCCATTTGGCCTGGCCACTCCGGAGTTGGCCAGGAGACGGGAATTTAATAGACACCACATGCACAGTAGCTGCTCTTCCGAATGCTTTATCGCCCAAAGAGTTCAATCCCATTGAAACCCTCAAAACTAAACAACTCCCTTGAATCAATAAGGCTCTGCCCTTTGACACAAACCTACCGAGGAATTCAAGCGACCCTGGTTTACCCTGTTTTACCCTTCTCCTTCCCTCACGGGTTCACCATTTCAGTGCACAGCCAGGATCAAGCCCGCTCCTGCAAGCCGAGGTCCTCGCTCCCTTAATTTTTATAAGCTACTCAGATAAAATAATCCCTAAAGGAACCCGGTGGGGAAACGGTGGGATGGCTGTGAATAAAGTGTTTAAGATTCAAAGTGCAAAGCCCATATAATTAAAAAAAAAAAAAAAAAAAAAGAAATTTCTGCTGACGGTCCACCTGTCCCCGGCTGGGATGAGGGGTACGGGGGCGGGGGGGTCCGGCTCTTACACTCCCGACTTCAAGCAGCAGCCCCGAAAAATCCAGCCCCCTCTCCAGGCAAGGCGGAGGGTCGGAGCTGCCACTCCGCACCCTGAGCCCACCACCGGGCTCCCCGCGCACCCCCCACCTGAGACCCGCATCCTTTCCGACACCCCCCCCCCCCCCCCGGCCATTCACCCCTCCGCCATCCCAGCCTCCCCCCCCCCCCCTTTATCCCCAGGGACACGCCGCGCTCACACCAGCCTGTTGCAGCGCAACCCCACCCCGCCACGGGAGGCAATTAAAGGCGGCTCAGCGCTTAATTACCAATTGCCGGAGCCACCACACACCCCAACACCCTCCCCACCCCCCCCCACCACCACCCCCCCGCCGTTACCTGTACCAGCGCAGCCCCTTCTCGTAGCACCTGTCGAAGAAATGGGGTTCGGCGCCCACAGCCCGCACCCCGGGGTGCGCCCGCAAAAACTCCAGCAGCGCCCGCGTCCCGCCTTTCTTCACGCCCACGATGATGGCTTGCGGGAACCGCCGGCTGCCCGGCCCCGGCCCCACCGCCCCCGGCCCCGTCCCCGCCGCCCCCGGCCCCGGCCCCGGCCCCGGCCCCGCGCCGTCGGGGAGCGCGGCGGGCGGCGGCAGCAGGAGGGCGGGCGGCAGCGGCTCGCAGGGCCCCGGCAGGCAGTAGAAGAAGTACGTGAAGAAGAGGATCATGGTGAGGAGCAACGAGGCGCGGCGGCCCCCGACGGGTCCCAGCAGCCGCCCGCTACATCCCATCGGGGGCCGCTCCCGGCCCCGCCGGGCAGCGCATCCCGCACCGCCGCCGAGCCCCCCCCACCCATCCACCCACCCACCTTCCCTCCCCTCTAGTCACCCACCCGCGGCCCCCCTTCCGCGCTCCGCTCCGCGCACACCCGGCCCGACCCCTCCCTCCCCTCCGCGCCGCCCCCCACGCCCACCCGCGGGGGCGGGGGAGGGCGTGCGACACGCGAGTGGGGGCGGCAACGCCCCGAAGGGTTGCGGGGGGGGGGGGGGGGGGACGACGGGGACGAGGCACACGCGTGGGGCCCCGTCGGGATACCTCAGGGGAGCAGGGAACACCCCCCCCATCCCAGCCCCCACGGGCAGCCCCGTTGCCCACGCGCCCCCCCACCCCCCACCTTCCGAGGAGCGTTTCCCCGATTTTCCCGTCCGATTGATTGATTTATTTATTTTCCCTCTTTTTCATAATTTCTGGGGCTGCAGCGGGTGTTTTCGGCCGTTCGCATCACTCAAAAGGCCGCGCGGGGGTGGGGGGGGGGGGGGCTGAGCTGCGGGATCCCAGGCGGGCGCTGGGCTGGAAATGGCCAGCAGTCGCCACCGCGCTGGTAGCCCAGTGCCACGCAATTAGCAAACAGCCCCGGGAGAGGCAGCGCTAATTAGGCAGCACGGGCTGCCGCTGCAGGCGTGGAAACATCCACTCGCACCCCCCCACACACACCCCCTTCCTTGTGCGTGTTTATTGTTTGGGAAGGATAATCCTGGGGTTTCACCCATTCCCCTAAGCATAAGCCCAAAAGCAGGAGTGCAGGTGCTGTGATTTAAAACACGTGGGTGCAAGGGGGGGAGGAGGTGGTTTTCCCGGTGCTGCTGGGGATAACCCCATTCCCTGGGGTGCAAAGGGATGCGTTGGGGGCTCAGTAACTCCCGCCCGGTGCCGCAGCGATGGTGACAGGCGGCTGTGCCAGGCCTGGGCCTCGCCTGTGGCCGTGGCACCATCCCAGCTTGCTCCTGCCCTCCCGTCACCCAACACAAAACAGCCGGGGCCCAGCCCCGGGGTGCCCCAGCCTGGGGGTCCCACGGGGCCGTCGCGCCTGGGACCCGCTGCGGCTTTATTGAAAAGCTCCTGGGGTCCCACACCTCGAAATGCTGAGGCTGATTTCCACACTTGTGCTAAAGCCTTCCTTTTTTGTATCTGAAATCAGCAGTCTTAATTAACCTATTAATATAATTAGCGCTTTTTATAATTAGATCCCCTGAGTCTTGCATTAGCTGGAGCAGGATGGGGAGGGGGAGACCTGGCCCGAGACCGGGGGGGAGGGGGGGGTGCAGAGCTGCGCACACGCAGCTGCATCGGGAGCGAGCGACGCTCCTGTGCGGTGCCACAGCTGCACCCTTGCACGTTTGTGTGACGGCAGGGCTGCAGGGTGACACAGCTGCAGGGTGACAGGGCTGCAGGGTGACACAGCTGCAGGGTGACAGGGTGGCATGGCTGCAGGGTGACAGGGTGGCATGGCTGCAGGGTGACAGGGCTTCAGGGTGACACAGCTGCAGGGTGGCATGGCTGCAGAGTGACAGGGTGACAGGGCTGCAGAGTGGCACAGCTGCAGGGTGACAGGGTGGCAGGGTGGCACGGCTGCAGGGTGACAGGGCAGCAGGGTGACAGGGCTGCAGGGTGACAGGGCTGCACAATGGCACAGCTGCAGGGTGACAGGGCTGCAGGATGACAGGGTGGCATGGCTGCAGGGTGACAGGGTTGCAGGGTACACAGGGCTGCAAGGTGGCATGGCTGCAGGGTGACAGGGTGACAGGGCTGCAGAGTGGCACAGCTGCAGGGTGACAGGGTGGCAGGGTGGCACGGCTGCAGGGTGACAGGGCAGCAGGGTGACAGGGCTGCAGGGTGACAGGGCTGCACAATGGCACAGCTGCAGGGTGACAGGGCTGCAGGATGGCAGGGTGGCATGGCTGCAGGGTGACAGGGTTGCAGGGTACACAGGGCTGCAAGGTGGCATGGCTGCAGGGTGACAGGGTGACAGGGTGGCACGGCTGCAGGGTGACAGGGCAGCAGGGTGACAGGGCTGCAGGGTGACAGGGCTGCACAATGGCACAGCTGCAGGGTGACAGGGCTGCAGGATGGCAGGGTGGCATGGCTGCAGGGTGACAGGGTTGCAGGGTACACAGGGCTGCAAGGTGGCATGGCTGCAGGGTGACAGGGTGACAGGGCTGCAGAGTGGCACAGCTGCAGGGTGACAGGGTGGCAGGGTGGCACGGCTGCAGGGTGACAGGGCAGCAGGGTGACAGGGCTGCAGGGTGACAGGGCTGCACAATGGCACAGCTGCAGGGTGACAGGGCTGCAGGATGGCAGGGTGGCATGGCTGCAGGGTGACAGGGTTGCAGGGTACACAGGGCTGCAAGGTGGCATGGCTGCAGGGTGACAGGGTGACAGGGTGGCACGGCTGCAGGGTGACAGGGTTGCAGGGTACACAGGGCTGCAGGGTGGCACGGCTGCAGGGTGACAGGGCTGCAGGGTGGCTGCAGGACGGGGCTTTGTGCCCTCTCGTGGCTGGTGCTCGGAGGCTGCGTGGGCGCTGCCTGGCCCGGCCCCCACGGGAGCTTCCACCGAGAGAGGAAATAACCACGCGAGCGCGACGGGAGATCCCTGCCAACCCGCCCCGCGAAGGCTCCCCGGGGGAAAAACGAGGAGGAAAGATTATGACGAGGAAGTGAATCTGTTATCGGGAGCAGCCCGATAAATAAAAACGCATCCAAAATCTGCCGCGCGGCACTTGCCAGCTCTTGTTGGGTTTACGTAAGCGATTAGAAATAGGAACTGTTTCACTCTGGGCGAGAGCGGGTGGGAACGGCTCCAGCTCCCTGTTTGGGTTGGGGGGGGGGGGGGGGGGGCGGGATGTTGTTGTTGGAAAATGCCAATTTGTCAAAATGGAAATGTTTGGCGAGAATATATCCATTTTGACAAACTTCTGTCAAAACCCAGCCAGGGAGGCTCGGGAAAGGCAGGGCGCGGGGAGCGCAGCAGAGCACACCCACCCTCCTCATCCTCAGCGTGGGGGGATCCCCCGGGGGGGTGCAGCCCCCCAGCCCCCGTGCCGCGGTCACCGCTGTGTCTCAGCGCTGGCCACTGCTCAGGCACGGTCGGAGGAGCAGTGCTTTTTCCTTTCTCACCTTCAAAATTGGAGAAAAAGGCTTAAAACGTGAGCTCAGGGATCGCTGTGGGGGCCAACACCAGGAGGGGAAGCACCGAGCACCGTGGGGGCTGCACCCGAGCCTTCCCCAGCCTCAAGTTTGGAGGGTCCCCAGATTCAGCCAAGACCCCCAGCAGCTCCCTGCCTTGCCAGCGGCTCGGGGAATTAAGAACAAGCACCCAGGTGCAATTTTTTTAGCAAAATTAGGACATTTTGCTTGAAAAAAAAAGGCGTTCTAAAATGAGCAGCTCCCCGTGCTCATGCCCTTGGCAAGCAGTGGCCACCCTCACGTCTCCGTGGCCACCCAAGGATGGCTGTGCAGGACGTGGGACGTGGACCCGGGGCCGGCGCCTCTCTGCCCACCGGTGCCAGGTGCCTTCCCCCTCCCTTAGCACGTCACCCTCCGCAGCTCTGATAACACAACCCACCCGAGAGCAGAGCTTCCTGGGGGTTTGGTGATCCTGTGGAAAGGTTTCCCGGTGGTGCTGGTGGCTAGGGCTGCTTTCCTCAGGCAGCAGCAATACCACTGCAACGGGCTCCGATGGGTTTGCACCCAGGAGCCAAACCCCGGCGGGCAGCAAGTCAGCAGGGCAGGGAGCCAGCGCAGGTGCAGGGCTGGGAACGGCGCTGGGAGGGTTTATCCTCGCCCCTGGGGAGAGCAAGGACAAGCGTTGCCCTACCCCGTACCCCGACACCTCAGCCAGGCCGATGCACGCCACGATCCCCACCCTGGGTCGCGGTGTTAGTCCTGGCATCAGGGCTCTGCACCCTCGGGTGGCACCCGCGGCGCCACGGGCACCCCTGGGGTCCCCCCGGGGCCACTGGCAGCAGGCAGGAGCCACCGGGCTGCCCTGGCGGAGGGAGATGGAAGCGTTCGGGGTTGTCACCGGCGTTTCGGGTGAGCTGCGAGCGCTGGCGGGGAGACGCCGTGGATGTGGGGGGAGCCCCTGCCTTTCCGACCCCTGATCGATGAGATGCAAGGGCCGGCTGTTTCACTCACTCTTATCCCCCTCCGACCGGGGGCGAGGGTGCTTTGAACCTTGGAGGTGATTGTCACCACTAAAGGACAAGAAGGGTCGTTTTTTAACCCCTGGGGTCCCACCATGACCTGGCTGATGGCTCAGTGGCTCCCCAGGGACTCGGGGGGGGGTCTCCAGCAGCCCGGGGGTGGCCGGGGCACCGCAGCCACGCAGAGGAAAATGCTCCGTGGAAGGGCTGGAGCGTGGGCAAAGGAGCATGTGATGGCTGCCAAGGGGAAGAGGTGAGACACATCCGAGCTGGGCAGGAGCTCCCACAGCCGTGATGCCTGGCACTGGTAGGTGAGCAGCAAAAGGGCAAAATAAATCAGCAGAGAGGCCCGGAGCTGCCGGGCTCGCAGGAGGTGCCAGGGAGCAGCGAGCAGTGGAGCAGCCTCTGGGATGCTGAGCAATGATGGTGATGCTCCATCCATGCAAAGACCCACCACTGGATTTGCAGTTTGCCTCGGGGTCACCTTTTGTGGGTGACAGGCCAGCCCAGCTGGCTGTGGGGGTCCCCGTGCTGGCGGGGGCTGCCTGCCTGTGTGCCCCCCAGGGCTGGGGATGGCTGCAGGCTGCCTCCTGCCCTATCCAGCTTGGCTGGGTCGCTGGTGACACAAATTGTCCCTCCAAACTGCCCAGGTGCTGCCGCTGCAGCGTCCAAAGGGGTGAGCAGGGACCCCCATGTGGGATGGGGACACGTGGGGAAGCACCAGCTGCTGTGCCTGGCCCCCCGTGTCCCCACTTCGCTGGTGTGGGGCAGGCAGCCAGGGCTGCCATCCCCAAAACTCCCCGTGTCCCATCCCGGGGTTCCCC